ACCCATCCCACTTTGCATCAGCTCCCACTGAAATAAATAACTCAAGAACCACACAACATAAATAACAGCAGAATGGTTTGGGGGGGAAAAACCATCTCTCCATCTTCTAAAAATAGCTTCCTTTTGGCTACGCTGCTCCTTCATGTCTTTCCTTGAGAAAGTAGGGATGAACAGAATACTGATTGGGATTCAGTGACAGGGGCTGCCTCAGGAGCATCATTAAGAGGCACATTTCTCCCACAGCCTCCCAGTTTTCAGAAGGAGAGGGTATTTTCCATCTCCTTTTCCTTAAGGTTGGAGCTGTGACTGCAAATTCCCCGCTCGTATTCATCCATTTGGCTCCCAGAGCTTTCTCTCCCCAAGATGTGTCTCTGTTCAGTGCCTCTTGGGTTGGGAGGCTGGACAAGCTTCTGAGTTCCCATGCAAAACCCAGCACAGCCCCAGCACTCGCTCTGGTCTTGCAGGGAACTTCCAACAGGACCTACAGGCACGTGTGGAATGGAAGCTGCATCAAAGGGTCTTCTAGAGCCCTTCACTGTTGTCTCTGTCTCATCAGTTCTTACATTGATAAATGCAGTGGTTAAATCCTGACCAGGGTTAAGCTGAGGAACACCCAGCCTTCCTCCCCTCCATTTCCTAACCTTCATGGGTCAAGTGAAACTTTCCTGACATCCACAAGGTTGAAGTCAGGGATGATCACACTGAGTTCACACAAATCATAGAATCATGGAATAGTTTGAGTTGGGCTGGAACACCTTCCACTATCCCAGGCTGCTCCAAGCCCTGTCCAAGCTGTCCTTGGACACTCCCAGGGATGGAGCAGCCACAGCTTCTCCAGTCAACCTGTGCCAGGGCCTCCCCACCCTCAAAATAAGCTCTTCTCCACTGCTCCAACAGCTTTCCATGGTTTGCCCCAAAGCAGAAAAGATTGGAAAATAATTTTTCATTTTTCTCTTTTTTAATACGTCCCTCATTTCAAAGGCATTTGGAGGGAGACAACACCACCCTCTCCCTCCATGGGCTGAAGCCATGGAGAGCTGTGACGCTGCTGGGACTTCACACAGATTTGCTTTTCAATCCAACCCCATGAGCTCCTCTGCAGGAAGACCTTGGGCAACCAAAATGCCTTATTGTCCCACACTGCCGTGCTTTTTAAATTCCCTGAAACGTACTGAGATGGAGGGAAAATATCTGTGCTGCCGGTGCTGGAGCTGCACAGGCTGAAGGCAGTGACAGGAGTCAAACACTGCACTGAGCACACACTTACAGCCAAATAAATGCAGAAAAGGTCAAATCAAAGACTATCCCCATTCGAGGTTTATTTCAGGACCCCTTCTAACACTACTAGGGGAGCCACAACCCTTTCAGAAACAAGCTGTTCCTGCTATTGCTGGCTTTGGACAAAAAGCACACTGCTGCTAACCTCTTACATAAAGTGAGCACACAAACAGCTGAAACACTGACCCCACATGGCCTTTTCCCTGGGATTTGTGGGTTTGCACAAAGAAGCCAACATTTTACATGCAGCCCTCGATGGAGTCTGGAATTGTGCAGAAACACTGCTTGGAGTGCACACTCTTAACCCAGTTGTTTGTGTACGATGTTCCTCCTCTCTGATGCCAAACACTGTGGGTCTCTAGGTTATTTTCTATTTTTATTTTGTTGGGGTTTTTTTTAAGCTGCTTGGTCATGCACAACTTTGAATCCCTGTATATACCTTCACTCCCACTATTATTGCAATATAATACAAGCCTGCAGTCAGGGATGATTCTCTTTGTTAGGGTCCTTTTTTTTTCCCTCAGCTGAACACTCAGAGCTCACTAGATACGAGCACCAAAATTATGAAACACTTCTTGGCTGTGATTTTTCTGTGCAGGCAGAGATATATATCAGGTTTATTTTATGAGTGGGAGATATTTAGCAAGAGCAGTTGACTCAATTTGCGTTGTGAGTAAACAATTCTCTTCATCCTTACTTGCAAATTGGTTGATTTAAGACTTTTGTCAATTGGCAACAGATATAAAACCCCCATAAGGAAGTGCCACTTGCTTTTGAATGGAGAAAAACCCCAGGCACGAGTTGAAGCAGCACTTTTCTCTTAAGGCAGAGGCTACACTGACTTACACTGGGATTTGCTGGGCAGGGTATCCAGCCTTGCCTCCATGAGATCCATGAAAACCACTCGAACACCACAGGAAAAGCTGGAGTGGGGTATTCAAGGACCACCCACCCCCTGCTCCCAACACATGGATGTTTAAATCATCCCCAAGTAACCGAGTCTTGCATCTCTGAGGATGAGAAAGTGCAAGTGATCCAACAGCCCAAGCGGTGTCTGTGCACAAGGGAAGGATGAAACACTACAATACCCGAATTCAACAGCAACAAAACAGCATTGAGGCCCCACAGCCAGCACAAAAATCACCATTGTACAGTGGGGTTCCAGCCATTCCAGCCCTGAGCTGCTAGAAACTCCAGTCTATCCCACTCTCTACTCCTCAGCTGGGCTAAATCCAACCGTTGCATTCTTGTTGGAATTCAAAGACACATTAATTGTTGTGAAGGCACAAAGTATTACCTGGAATAACACTTGAAATGCAAATTAAGGGCTGTGTAAAATTATTGCAGCACAAGAGGACCGTGGTTTATTAGCAGCAGATTTGCAAGGTTAATTTTCAATTATGTATTTCTTATTAGTTTTCTAGCTGTCTTGCTATTATTAAATTTAAAGAGGAAGATACTTCCAGTGTGTCCAGCTTCTGTGGCATTATTACTGATAATTATTCCTATTTTCCAATTTGTGTTACTCTCATGTCTTGCAAAATTTGTAATTAATGAGCAAATAATTACAGCAGCACTTACTAGAGCTGCTTTGGTTAAAGCTGTGTCAGCTTTTGTATTAGGATCCCCATTTTTCAAGGGTTTATAACTCAAGCATAAAAATTCACTCTGGGCAGAGCCTTGTCATAAGAGCTGTCTGCTGAGCATGATTTTTTGGTTTTAAATGTTTCTAAGAAGCATTATCTCTTTTTATTTTCCTTTTTCTAAAGTTATGGACGTTTTAAAACATCTTAAAGCTTCCAGGGGCATTAAGTTTACAGCGCTGCATTTTTCTGTGCTCCAACATCTCCAAAATAAAGACATTTTCTTTTAAGGTGAAGGCATTCACCTTTACAAATATGAAACAAGATGCCTCAGCATCTCCAAAGAGCAGAACAGGGGTTTTTAATGCCTGCTGGTCATTAGCTTTACAAAATAGCACAGAAGAGAGCTTGACATTCAGGGATGTTTGTGCTGCTCCCATCCAGCTGAGCATTCATGCACAGCCCCAATTAAGGCACATGAGTGGTCCTTAGGAGTCAACAGGCCTGGCCAGGCTCTCTGGGATGCACAAACATTCACTGCCCCGACTCAGCACAACAAAGAGTTGCTTTTGACTCGAGTTTGAGGCTGTCCCTGCTCCCTGCAAGCTGCTGTCCACGCTCTGGGGAAAGCTGAGCATCACAGGGAGCAGTTCTCCAGGGTGCTGAGGACCTGGAGGGCTTAAACAGCTCAGCACCTTCTCAATGAGGGGCTCAGCATCACACACGGTCCCGTCTGGTGCCAGCATAAAATTTAGCACAAAACCAGTGTTTCTTTTGTTGTCTGGAAGAGGAAACCCAAAGGGGAAAAGCAGCAGATCCCAAGTCACCAGGTGATTGTGGCTGGTGCCACAAAATAAAATGGGAGTGACAGTTCTAGAACAGGCATTCTGGGAAACTTAGGCTCTACCCAAGAGCTCATCACAGCTGACTCCTCTAAACATCCAGAAAACACGGGACACATCCCATCATCACTGCCTGGCCTTCTGCATCCCTTCTCCTGCAAAAAGCCTTGGAGCAGCCACACAGTCACTGTTAAAGTCCTAAAGGTTAGAAGAGACCTCCAAGGTCATCAGGTCACTCTTGGAACTGCTCGACCTTAATACTGAGCTTAATTGAAGCAAGACCACTGTAACTCAACAAAGAGGGAACAGCAACAAGTCAGCAGGGCTGTGCATATCAGCTTTTCTCATCTTAGCTTTGAAGAGTAGGGTGGGTTAAGACACTTCCAGCAGCAAACTAATAGAAAAAATTCACACCAAAACCCCAGTTTTACTGGGAAACACAGTCAGAGATGAGATAAAACCAGAGAATGATGAGGCCTACCTGCATCAGCCACAGTCAGTCATGGAAAGTGAGATTGATCCTCTTCAAAATTCAGGCAACTTGTTCCTTAAGGCTCCTCATCCGGAAAGGAATCTGTTGACTCACTGTACCTTTTATTTACCTTGCTTTGACTACCATCAGCTGAGGTTTTTCACACCCTCATTCATCTCCACCTGTTTGAGTTCATTGCTAATGAGGGGAACCCATTTTTTAATCTATTATTCGGCCCCGAGCCACGGCACTGGAACCTTTTACCACTGTGACTGAGGGGACACCAATGTCCCTTCTCCCTGGTGTCACCCTCGTGGCCAAGCCATATTTTGTAAGCCCAAACGTCATCAGCAAACCCACCAAACATTTGCAAACCTCACTTTTGTTTTCCAGGAATGCTGATATCTTTACTTTTGCACATATGCAGAGCCTGGCCCAACTGTGGCTGATGTTCCATAGACAATATAATAAATATAATAAACCCCTGCCATAGAAATGAACTGCTCCTCCCCATTTTAGGGGATTGTTTACCCTTCAGGTAAATATTTTCTCTTATATGAATTTCCCCAGTCAAGATTAGTTTGCAAAATGGACCCAGAGGAATCTATATGTGCTGATATTCCCTGGTTTCTGATGGCTTCCCAGTTTGGCTGTAACCATGGTGCTGCTGGATTTCTCATGGCTGCATGGCACAATGCGTATCTCATTATTCCTGGCAGCTTTGGATAGCTTTTATGTAGCTGTAAAAATAATTTACATTTCTTGAGCATCTGAAATAAAGATAAAATAGAACTATGACATCGCGAGCTGGAGGTTTGATGCAAATTTATTTATAAATATAAATCACATTTAGAATGCAAAATTACACAAATGTCTTCTACAAATTGCCCCTATCATAAAGAAATTATTTCTTTCCTTTTTTTAAGGATAACACCTTAACATATTATCTATATATTACTGATGTAAATGGAAACTCAGGAGAAAATTCAAAGTGAAATTTGGGTACCCTGGACTGCTGATGGGATCAGTTATATGACAAAGAATTTTTTCAGTTCTACATCACTGAAAGTGCTCCACCTCACCTCCATCAGCTGCTCCTGGCCTGGGATGAAATTCCAGCCCTTCTGAAGTCACTTGGGTGCCAAAGGATGTCCAGGAATCACAGTGACATCACAAGTCCACCTCAACAGTGCTCCTGTGCCCACATCACACACATCCCCCAAACACCTGGGCCAGAAATTCTGTTATTCAAATATTCCAAAATATCATCCTGGGGAAAGCCCAGCTGCTTGTGTCTAATTCCAATAATCCCAAGCCTCACAAATCCAGGGGTTTTCACTATCTTTTGGGATTTCAGAATGGTATAAACTGTATTTTTGAAAGTGGGATACAGGTGTTGGGTGTTTCCTGGCTATAAAGTTCCTCTGGCCAAATAATGTAACTAACAGTAGTTCTTTGGATTTCAAAACAAGCACAGATTTTGAACACAAACAAGGCTTCATCAAATCACTTTTACAAATTTTGATAATTTCTCTCTGCTCTAATTTCAGGGTTTTCCTTTTAGTCTCTTCTGGGGCTTGGTTATTTTAACATTGTCTGCTCTAACACAAGATCTCTGCTCTAACACAAGATCTCTGCTCTGGGAAAAAACTCAGTGGTTGTTTTCTGGACTTTCCAATAAATAATCCATATGAGGTCTCAGTTTTGATGAGCAACTTTGGTATAATATTTCTTCTTCTTGGTGGAAGTGATGTCCAAACCATCTCGGAAATCTCCATGCTGCCCATCCTTCTGCCACACGGAATTCTCCACTGAACAGTCCTATTCCCATTGCACTTTATCCCCTCTAAAAGGGGGAGAATTGTTTCCTAAGGGAAAAAAAAAGGCATAAAAATATTACCTGCCAAAACCCTACTCTTTTTTCAATTCTTCTTCCACATTGAGATTAAATACAACTCTGAAATCAAAAGTAACACAGAAAATGACTTTTCCTTCAGTCAGAGTGGTTCCACAAGGTGTTTGCTCCCCTGAGCCTCTGTAATTCACACCATAAAATCACAGAATCATTAAGTTTGGAAAGACCTCCAAGATCATCAAATCCAACTTTCAGCTAAATGTCCACTAAACCCTATCACCCACATTTCTGAGCCTCTGCTCATTGTTTTACCCATAAAAGTATCCAGCTGCATTTTGCTATGTCATTTTTGTTTTTAATTCCACCTTCTGAGAAACTGCAGAGGGAAGAAATCCCAGGATTACAATTAAAAATTTCATAAAACAATCCTCTGGAATTTACCAGGTTAGAAACTTTCTGTCAGTGTTTTTAACCATCCCACAAAACTCCTTAGAAAACACATAATTTTTGGTTCAGTATCATGAACAACCTAGAACACAAGTAAAGTGGATATTCTGGTGGATGAACACTGAGGACACGTTTCTAATTTTATACATTCAGTTTATCAGAAAGGCAGGACATTTTCTAGCCAAGTATTTATTCATCAACATACTCAGAAGGTGCCATGGTGTTGTGGGCAGAAAAAGTCACATTCCCTGAAATCACATTAATTTGGGCATTTGGAGGGCACAAACATCTACTCCAAAGAGCAGGAGAGTGATGGCTGTGGATGCTCAGCTTTGCATCCTGGTTGGGACTGGACCAACCCCATCCATCAGGGCATTGGAACAATGGAGAAATTAAAAAGGAAAAGGAAAAAAGGAAGGTGTATGGATGAGAAAAGTCCTAATTAAGAAGAGCCAAGTTAACTGGAGACTGGTTTAATGAATGTAGAATAGTTTTACACCTCAGGAGGGAATTGTGCTGTTACAACCTCAGGCAGGGCCTGAGCATTTAAGTGCTCCAGTGCCACAGCAGACAATTGGATTTAAGCCCCTCTTTAAGGACAAGGCTGGGCCAGGATGGTTTGCGAGATCTCTATAAAAGCACAACCTTCCATTCTCCCAAACCATATGGGTTTGACTTCCCATATGGAGTGACAAAATAAAAATATAGGCTAAAAATAGCCCTCAAAAAAATGCACTGGCTGAAGGCTGTTTCCTGTGCCACAATTTGATTAGCCTTGTGTTTTATTTCTTCGGCAGCGATTTCAATTTATCTCTGATTTGGAGCATGAAAAGCTGCTTTTATAGTCGCGAGCAGAGGAGAAAAAGGCATCCGGGAAGCAAATATAGAGAGAGCTCTTCTGGCTTTATAGGAGCTGCAGGAACAAGTAGAATGATTTTAGAGCAGCAGCAAACAAAGTGGTGCTGGGAGATGATCTATCTTTGCAATCTGTATTTAAGTTCGCTGTCAGCCCCTGCGAGAGTGCAGAGCATTAAAAATTCCGTGCAGCTCCAAAGTAACCTAAAGGAGCCAAAAATTGTCAGAGCAGAAATCCCCTGTGCAGAGGGATCGGTGCCAGCACGGCTCCCACCCCGCCCGGCGCCGCGGCCGAGCGGCTCCCTGACAGCTCCTTCTGGCCACCAAAGAGGAGCTGGAGGAGCCGCTCCCGCGGCGTTGACGGATGGTACGGAACACAAACATTCCCATTTGGGCTCTGTTGGAAGGTGCCTTCGTAAAAATCGTGGATTTATTTAGGTTTTTTTAAGGGGGAAAAAAATCCCAGCCGCGCCTCAAATCCTGTGTTCAGTGTTGGGCTCCTCACGACAAGGAAGACTTTGAGGGGTTGGAATGTGCCCAGGGAAGGGAACGGAGCTGGGGAAGGGGCTGGAGCACCAGGAGCAGCTGAGGGAGCTGGGGGGGCTCAGCCTGGAGAAAAGGAGGCTCAGGGGGGACCTTCTGGCTCTGCAACTCCCTGACAGGAGGGTGTATTTAGCTGGGGGTCGGTCCCTTCTCCCAGATAACAAGTGACACGATGAGATGAAATGGCCTTAAGTTGACCAAGGGAGGTTTAGATTGTATATTAGGGGAAATTTCATCACAGAAAAGGTGTGTCAAGGCCTGGCACAGGCTGCCCAGGGCAGTAGTGGAATCACCATCCCTGGAAGTGTTCAAAAACTGTGTGGATGTGACACCTGGGGACATGGTTTGGTGGTGAACGTGTGGGTGCTGCTGGTTGACGGTTGGACTCTATGACCTTAAAGATCCTTTCCAACCTTCATGATTCTATGATTCTGTGATTCTAAATTCCCTCCCACCTCAGCTGGGGCAGGGAACAAATCATCAGCCAAGCACCTGGAGATCTGCTGGTGGCATCCAAGACCTGAAACCTCTGGCTTTGGAGAAGGAGAGAAGATCAGTCTTGGTGGCACCTCCTGCAGTCAAGGAAGATGTATGTTACGATTTGAAGACTCAAAAAGTAAATGTCACAGCTGCCCTTCCCAGGAATTACTTTCCCTCCCTGTTGGTATTGGACAACAGCTGGGGAATGGCACCATGGCATGAACACATCAACATTCCTCAAGAGCAGCTGGACCTGGACTAGACACCCCGTGGAGGTTTTGTGTGCCAGGTTTGAGACTGACACAAGGCAGCTCAACAAGGATCCTTCCTTTGGGATCTGCTCTGAAGCTCCTGCGATTCCTGAAGTTACCTCAGGTTCCTGGGCTTTCCTGCTCCCTGCTTTATGTTGCTGCCTGAGGTTGGAGACGAGGATTTAACCCCATCCATGCTCCAGTGGCAACATGAGCACAGGCAGCTGTCATTTATTTCTCTGGTCTTGCAGCTCTGCCCAGACCTCACCCACCCGTGTCACCTGTGAGACCCCACAGGGGGTAACTGTCCATTACAGACAGATACTTCTCATTATTTGTGTCTTTTGCCAAAGTGAGTAAAGAAATAGATAGATAGCAGATAGACAATGGAAAAAAAATCATGTTCAGCTTGCAAGGATGATGGAGAAAGTCTCGTCTTGCTTTTCCATCATTTCAGTTTTCCCACATCCATGAGTCTGCCTGGCTTTATGCAAATAAGTGTGGATTTCCTGCAGGCTTTGACCTTACTTTAATAGCACACACTCTGGGACAGTTTGTGTCCTGTTTCTGCATTAATATATGTTGCTGTGGGTGAAAAAGTGGAATAAAACTAAAAAATAATGCTGTTTGCAAGCAAACAGTGCCCCTCTGCTTGGCACCAGAGGAGACAGCGAGCACTGGTGGGGTAGGGAAGAGTAATCCTGGCTCTGATTCAGCCCAGAAGGAATGAAGAACCAGCAAAGGGCTAATCCCTCCATTGGGCAGGAATCTGGAGTGAGAATAAACAGCCAGACCAATGGACAGGACCCCCCTGTGGGCACTGGTCAGGCTTTGGACACATATCTCCACATCACAGCCCAACATCTGCCAGAGTCTGGGATAAAGTTCTTCTATTTGATAATTTTCTCTCTTTCACCACTTCCTTAAAGCTCTAGGAATGACTTTTCCAACCGGAGCAAAAGCTCTACATTTCCCCTTAAAAGTGATTTTTATAATATCTAACAAATATTAAAATCCAAAGAGGGAAAATAAAAGATATCTAGAGTGGGAAGTGGCTGAGCTGCAAAAGCTTTGGAAGAGAAAGGATTAGAAATCAGCAAACCAGCTTTTCTCTAAAGAATTTAGAGAGGAAAAAAAAAAAGAAAACACTTTGGAAACAATTATTTACGAAGTTTGAAGTATTTGGTCCCCTTTGCTTTGGTAAGATAAGGGACAACAAACAGCATCCATAGTCATGAGGAGTCGGCCCAATTACTTCTGTCAGCAAATCTAATTTTACAAAACATATTTCTGCTAGGAAGAACACTTTCCTTGCTTCAAATTCCTTTTTACATTGCTAATAAGTCTCTTAGCAGTAGATTAGAAGAGCCTCTTCAGCCAGGAACAGGCGGATGGCCCTGAGCGCAGCCAGAGGTCTCTTCTCCGGAAAAACATGATTGAAGCCGAGGAGAATTTCGCCTGAGGAGGTTCCCTGCAGGTGTTTGGTCCCGTGTCTGTAACCTGTGTTGTTACAGAAACTGTTAATGATTAGGATTATTGCACTTACAGCCTTCAGAAACATGATCTAGGGCTGTTCTGACCCTTTTCCCTCTCCTGACATGTGGGAATCAAGGGGGGGTTTTTAGGGCTCCGTGCACAGAGAGCAGAGCAGAGCCCACCTGCCTGACAACCTGTGCAAGGATCACAAACCTTCCAAAGGTGTCCAAAAATTTCCCAAACCTGTGTGAAACCCTGCCACCTGCTGAGACAGGTAAACCCTTTAAGGCAATGTAAGTTCAGAAGGATTTAATTTCAGTAAAAAAATGATGGATGAGAGATGAAGATGACCAAGGACAGCCCTCTCCAGATGGCACCGATGGGTCCCACTTTCCCCAACTCCAGATGTGCCATATTTCCCAAGGAGATGCTGAAAAGCCCATGGCTGTGCTCTCTGGAGGGGAACAGCAGGAGCTGCACTGAGACAGGAAGATGAGCAGTGGGTACAGGAGACAAACAGAGAATTAAAATTTTTTGACACATCACAAGAACAATCTGAAAAAAAAGATGTACCCTCTTTGTGGATAAATACAATTTTATCAACTCTGCTGAAGGCAGTGAGAAGCCTCAGGCTGCCCTTGGCACCTCACCTGCACCTGGAAAATAAATGCAGTGTCTTAATTCCCCCAGAGAAATGGTCACTTATGCAAAGAAAACAATGGAGAAAAGGATCAGCTTCCAGCTTTTCTGGGCAACTCTGATTTGTGCCTGGGCACCTCACTGAAGACCAGAGATTGGAGGTGTCCTTGGCCATCCCAGACATCATAAAAAAGCACCTGAATCTAATTCCTGCACACAGAAAATGGGCTAAATTCATTAAATCAAATTATTCCATTTCAGTTCCTCGCTTTCCACAATTTTTTTGTTTCAAAGGCTTTGTGGCAATTAATGTCAAAGAGCTAAGTAAATATTTTCTTGTGGTATGTGGAAGATGATGTCAGGCACTGATGGGAGTGAAATACTGACTTTGTACAACTGTTTGTACCTCTGATAGGATTGACTCATATTGGGAGATTATAGAAAATGCATTCTGTGATTATATACCCCCCTAGAGGCCCCATGGAGGTGAGATTATGCAACTCACACTGTTATTTTACCAGGAAAAAAATGGACTAAGTAAATAAAAAAGCTGCAGGATGTGACTTCATCGTGCACTGTTGACACCTGCTTGTATGATTTAAAGGATGTTACTAAGAATATCAGAGTTGCTAATGTAAATGATGAAGAAATCAGAGGTCAATAATATAATAATAAATATTAGCATAGGTTTCCCAAGGCCAGGAGTGCCTGAAATGGTAATTGGAATTATGATTTTGCTCTTGAATTATGTGCTACTGAAAATACTTTGGTCGCTGCTGCTTTCCTGGAACTGCTCCATTAAAGCCAAACAGAGACACTCTCCAATCCTTCTTAATCCAAGAAATAACGTCAGCTTTTCCTAAAGATGCTTCTTCTTTCATGTGGGCACCCACCTCACCCTGTGCATTAAGTTGTTGTGTTAGAGGGAGGTGTTGGGCTGCAGGGACGTTGTTCCTACAGCTCCAGGTGCTGCTCTGAGGATGCAGCATCTCAACTCTGTCATCCGTGTTGGATATCCCAGGGTAAGGTAGAAAAACAAGAAAAATTCCTCATAACTGCACTGCAGGCACAAAGGAAGCATCTCAACCACAAGCCACTTCCCTATGGGACACCAGAATAAAGTGCTCTCAAAATGCATTAATGCAATAGGCAATAGATTAAATTTGATGAAAGACTGGTCCAAACAATGTGGTTTCAATTGACAAAATACCTGCAGCTCACAGTACTATTTACAGCACCATTGAATTACCCTGGACACACAGAAGACACACAAAAAAATGTGGCTACAGCTTTAGAATAATTCATTTAGGGGTTATCTGGCAACACCTTGTGCAGCAAAAAATCAGCCCAGCAACCAGGCTGGTGCTGAGGGGAAATTCCAGAGGGCGAGGGGCTGGCAGTGGCTTTAAAGTCATTCTTCACCTGCTTCCCCACCTCCTCCAGCCCTCCCTACAATGAATTTATCCCAGAGGGGTCTGAAAGTCAGTAATTGGAGTTACTGGGTGCTGACTGCGGTACCTGGGGATTCCTGGCAGCCACTGCGCATGGCTTGGGAAGTGCTGCTAAATCAGATTTTTACAGGGAAAAAAACCCCACCGTCTAATCCTGTAATGCTGTCTGAATATTGTTGGGCTGTTTGCTTTTAATGCCTCTAACTCCTTGCTGATGGGCAGCTCACAGGAGTCATGTTTGAGCTGGTGTCTGATGCTGGAACGCTCTGTGCAGAGAAATCCGGATCTGCCACGAGTGTTTTAACGCGGTTACACAAAAGTCTAAAATTAGGTCATAAATTATATAATCCTGCAAGGAAACAACGAATTTAATGACTATGCCAAACCAGAGATAAAAGCTGAGGAAGGAAATAGCATCTTGCTCATTAAATATTAAGGATCAGATCCTTCAAACATTTTTCCAGTGATGAACTCTGTGGGAGTTTGGCATCTGTATTTGTGTGTGTTCTATAGAATGTGCTTATACATCACATACAAGTGCTGGATGTGATTTATGGAGCACACACACATAGTAAGTATATTTATAATGCATAAATACACTCCATCAAGAGCAGAGAAGGTGATTAGTGAGAGTTTCCTAAGAGGTTTAATCAGATATTTTGATGGCTTGTTTCCAGTGTTCCTCCAAAGGCATTTTTCATCACAGGGCGCTGGGAAGGAGCAGGTAGAGGCACCTCCTTTCACACTTACAGCAGCAGCAGATATCACAGAGCAGCTCTGCATCCTCAGTGGGATTGAAAAACCCTGGAAAATAAGAAAGATTACCAAGATATAACAATGTATTTGAAAATTCTCTGCAACCTGTGAATCCCTCCCCTAATGCTGCTGTGCCCCAGCCTTTCTCCAAACCTTTCACAAGGCACATCTGGTTTGATCTGTTTGAAATAACACAGGGCCAGGTCTTGTGCATATTCCCTGGAAAGTTTGAGGTGATTCCCCTGGGACTGATGGCTGTGCTGATGTCCTGAGTATGTTAATGAGAGGGAATGGGAACCTCTGATGGAAAAAGGCAGATTGTGCTCCAGTCCTTGCTGTCGTCAAAGCCTCTCTGATAACCATGTCCTTTTCTTCAAAGATTGGAGTCATTTGTGGATTGACTATATAATCCTTGTGCTGAAGCCTGGGAAAACTGCTGTTGATGCCCTTGGCAAATTCTTAGCCTAAAAAAGCATGAAAAAGAGGACCAAGTAATTTCAATTCCATAAAATACATTAAATGCAGCACACAGGTATGTAAATGGGAAACTCCATAACTGTAATTTGCCCATTTAGAGCCTGATCTAAAGGCTATAAAAGTTAATTTGAAATCTTTTCATTGATTTTAATGGCCTTTAGATCAGGCCCATATTATTCACTGCATATCATGTTTGTTTCAGTGCAATACTGTATTTATGTAAAATGTGAATTATGCTGATTATAACACATACAGAGCCACTGCTTATTGTGCAAGGGCAAAGCTTGTGAAGTTATTGGCTTTAACAACACACACAAAACATTAAAAAAAAAATCAAAATAAAGTCCCAAATAATGATTAGACTTTTTAAAAGCGAGATCTAAAAAAAGAGGAGGCCTTCTTTTCATTAGATACTAATACAACCTAAATGTATTTTAAGCGTCATGAAATCCAAATGGAATTTCTCACAATTCCTCATTTCCGACTGCAGCGGCGCAACAAAAAAATTACATGTAAATGATTCAAAACCTCTTGAAGAAAGAGCTTTTTTTTTTTTTTCTAATTTGGGGAGAGAAAAAAAAAAGGTTTCAACCCAAGCTCAGCAAGGAATAACAGCATTACAGTCTGTGCACGGAGAATTTAGCCCCTCATAATTCTAAATCCTTCTCAAACGCTTTATTGCTATAAGGTGGCTCATACCAGTCTCTACACAACAGGACTCCCATAGCATTAACCATGAGAGATAGGCTTCCAGAAAGAAACTATAGCAAAGTAATTGTAAATCTCTAATGATGCATAAAACCAAGCTGAATTGGTCCTGAATTCTCAGCATAAAAGAAATGAACCATCAGAAGAACCAATTCTGGTGGCAGTATAACACAGCCCAGTGTGGGAACTGTTTATGGGGTTTGCTGCAGTGGAAATATTCCTGCTAATATGCAAGTGATAGGAATTCATTAAAAATGCCCCGATGCTGCAAGATCTTGTGATACCACGTGTGACATTAAAAACAACTCGTTAGCCAAAAAGAAAACCTCCTCTGTACCAGAACAGTTCCCTGCCCGTCTCAGTCACTGCCAGATTTCTGTCCCATGAATTCAGTGGGTTCTGCGGGGTTTTAAAGCCACCTTGCAAGATTTTGTGCACAGGGGTGGGTTCAGCTGCACCATACTGGGCTTTATTGGAGCTGGGCCTACCAAGACATGCCCAGGGGCTGCGTGGACAGAGCAGGCTGAAGCCTCATCCCCCTCCCCTGTTGTGCCCGGGAGGACACCTGGGATGGGACTTCCAGTGATGGCCTTCAAGGGGACACAACCACAGACAGTCAGGACAGGGCTGTCCCTGCTGGTGTGCCAACAGAAACCCAAAACCTCCTGTTTTCTCCGACAGTTTAGTCAATTCCTGCTGGATAAGCACCCAATAAAATATGTAAATTATACTATTTAATTAATTAATGACGCAATCCACAAACTCCATCAACGAACCGGGCTCACTCCAGAGCCCTCAATGCACAAACCCGGATCATCACTCATTAATCCAAGACAACTTGCTCCAGAAGCAGATCAGATGGACAATCTGAGAGAGCAGAAACCCCTTCCTCATGCCCAAACCAGAAGTCCCACACGTGTCCCCACACATGTCCCCACACAGCCTCACCCAGGAGCTCCAGCAGGGCCACAAACCTGATTTTTTGAGCTGAGAATCCGGTCGTACTTCATGTCTAGGACATCTCTGGCTCTTTTTCCACACTACCAAGAGGTGTTGCAGGGCATGCTGCTTTTCCAGCACCAGGGCATCTGTCCACTGAGAACTAGATTGACAAGGCTGAAATGGTTGGGTTTGTCTGCTTGATCATTTCACAACTCTTCGAGCCAGACATCTGAGAGCTCGGCTGCATCATTGCACCGTGTCAACACTGGTGGAGGCACAGATTTGAAATCTGCATACGTGGACAAAAAAAGGGTGGATCTGAAATTAATTAACATTTCCAGGCACTACCTAGAGAAATATTTACCCATAATAAGCATGCATCAAGGAACGTCACATTTACTGCATGGTTTTTAGTGAAGCTGCAGTTTTTGAGACTTGTATGTGGGACTCCAAGGTTTAGCAATAACTTCTCAATTTATAAAAGCATTTTAAAGAACTCACCAAAAAAAAGAGGAAATATCACTGATTTAAAGTCAGATTAAAATGAAATGAAATGCAAGTGACACACTGGGGTTTTCTGTGCTTGCAGTTGGCATCTATCTGCACCACACAGTACATGTGAGTTATAAAACATCCCTTAACTATATATAGGTGCTACAGCCTTATCTATAATCCCCATGGAAATTATGGGAAGAAAAGGTAAACAATTTCACAAGGGATTAAAAAATAATAGCAAGAAGTGCATTGGTCTCACTCTGTTTTGACTGTGGTTTATGAAATAAGGGGAGAAATGAAGTTTTTTGTTAAATATCCTGCTTGTACATATATATAATAATAAAGGAATGGGGAAATCGAGGCAAGAGGGATGAAAGAAATTACCTAATTCACACTTCTAAAAACTTCCTTCACACTGGCAAGGTGCTGGCACTGTGACCATCTCTTATTTCCCTGTGATTTAGGGCTCCTACCCTGTGAGCAATTCATAGATGCTCATTTTGGAGATAAAAGTCCAACCTACTGGACCCATTGCCCCAAGGATCTCACAGCAGGAAATGCTCTCCAAGGTGCTCCATCCCACAATTCCATGTTCCAAGGTACCTCCATTTTTCCCAATCAAAATCAGAACAACTCTAATTAAATATAAACAAGAAGCTAAAGTGAGATGAATGGTTTATAGGTGCTTCATCCTTCCCTGCATTGATTAATAGATAAAGAATTCCCCCCTCCACCAACTCAGCTGACAAACCCTGCTGTAATTATTCCTTGTACACGATGATCTGGAAGCACAGTCACTCCAGCAGGGACACTCCAGCTCCCTCTACATATATTTGGTGCTGGTTGGCTGCACCCACCAGGTATTTACATTCCATTAATCTTGTCTTCGTATTCAAAGTTTCTCAACATGGTTTTCATTTGAAATCAAAGCAGCAGTGGTCACCCTTGCATGCAATGCCATTATTTGTGAGCCAGGTTTGCAGCGTGGGCAGCATCCCTGGACTCTGCTAATTCCTGGTGCCCAAAGAACCGCTCTATGAGTTTTATTTTTCCTTTTGTTTTCCCTGATGTTGTCACTCTGCTCTGTGAGTGAGCAGCAAATACAATTTTCTTTCACATATGGATGAAACTTTGCTGAAACTGTGCCTTTGCCACCTCAAAATCAATGCCACAGTTGCTCCAGAGGATGCCTGACCACTTGTAAAGCAGAGCACTACAAGAGGACACTGCAGGGGCTGCACCAGATATTTTCTGGCCGCCCTGGACCAGATAGAGCCACACAGAGATAGGCTCCAACTTTTGGAGAATGCACTGATTGAGCTTATTTTCAAGGAGTTTACTCTTAGAATAATGCAGTTATTAGAGTATGAACCAGCAGCAGGCAAGAGATGCATCTTAGTCTCATCCATTGATTACCCTACAGCCCAAGTTTTGCAAGGGGCATCCAGCCCTTGAGATGGATATCCCTGTGCTGGAAAAATGGAAATCAATAAATCTATTCAGAAAAACATAATTTCATTTTGCTTCTTAACCAGAAATTGAGATACACACAATTCTCTGACTTAAATATATCCTGTGTTACATAAGTAATTGTTTTGAACCCACTCTAGGACACAGTCAGAGACATGACTCCAATAACACATTATCAGTAAAACAAAGCAAAACAGTTTCATGTCCCTGCTGGGTTTGTATATACACTCTTAAATGAGCAGATTGTCTCGTTATCCACCCTGATCTGGTCATTGGATGCTGAGGCACAGCTGTCACAACAGGTGCCCGAGCGTCTCCCCCTCCATGGCACCGCGTTTGCTCTCTGGAGTTTGTTGTCAAATTCCTCTGGTGGCTTCGCTGTTCCCTGTCCTGCTCTTCCCAGGTTCATAATTACTTCTGAAATCATCCAGGGCTGGCCGAGTCTGCGTGTGATAAACCTTCATCTCAGGTATCAGTGCTTCTTCACAGGTTCCTGTTCCACATCCCACCACATGACACCAGGTTATCCATCAGTTTTGGCCATGGGTTTCTTGCCTGGACCTTTCTCCATCTTTTTTGATGCCTCCAGTGACCATTTCTACTGAATGAGATGCCCAACACTGTGTTGCAGGAGATACTTTGGGACCATGCAGGGCTAGAGGCCGATTCCTCCACTGGATCAGATCATCTCCCCCCATGCCAAGAGACAGCAGGAGTCTCCAGTGACTTGAGAATTTCCATGGGCTCTTGTCCTGCGTTATATTTAAAGAGAAAATTCTTTAAAAAATAACTTTTGTGCCCAAAGATATCACCTCCTCACTTTTGTTTCTCTTTAACATCCTTCAGTGGTGGTTTGGGGTTCCCAAAACTGAGTGCAGAACTCTCCCCCATCCCGTTCCCCTCCTCTCACTGCAGATTTATACATCCCATTTTCCCACTGAGCTCAGCCCTCACTGGGGATATTTTACTGCCCAAAATCCTGAGAGTTCTTCAATTATCAGCTCTGTGCCACTGTGCACTAACAAAGTTTATCTGATACTGCAGCATATCAAACATTTGTAGTTCTGGAACAAATGTTTTCTTAGCTGGAAGCAAATCCCCTCTGATGTTAAAGTACCTCCAAATAAAGAGACAATTTTATGTGATTTTTTTCCTTTTGTCTTCAAGGAATATATTGTAGATTGAGGGCAAAATATGCACACTCCAACCTCTTTTATGTTTTGTAGACATCAGAATATAGGGCTTGATTTCCAAAGTGCTATAATCCATCAGTCTCACTGAGTTCCAAAGGCTGGTGAGGGAGACAGATAGACAAAAAGCCAGCTGGGTAACCTGTATCAATGCCTTGAAGCACTGAAAGGATTGGACCAGTAAAAGCCAAAGATTTCTATAATTTTCCTTCGATAAAATTACAAAGGAGCAAGGAAAACATCCAGCTTTTGATTCGCAGAACAAATAGACTCAGTACACTACTAATACCAATTTTTTCTCCCTAAAACCCCATAGTTAGGGGTTAAAACATGTATTTCTATCTCAAGTCTCATCCATTTGGGATTGAAATATATTTTCCTCCCCTAACTTACCCTTCCAGTCCTGCCTTCCCTGTCTTACAACACCTACAGAAACAACACCTCCTTGAACTTGAGAACAAAGTATTACAAAAATCTTCAGTGCATTGCCACCATTTTAATGCAATTTATTGCTGAAAACCAAAACTAAAGGCAGTGTCATGGGTTCATCCATATTTCTGTAGGTCAACTCCACTTTAAGGAATTCATCCTCATTGTTGTTACACTTTACAGCTCTTTGGGTAGATTAATTATCATGGGGAGCTAAACTGACTGAAATTCTTGCTGCCTTAAAACTGAATAAATAATTCATCCTTTTCTTTCTTATTCTCTCACTTTTCCCATATTACTTTAAAATAAAGTAGTTATTGCTGGTGTGTGTAGCTTGTCCCTGCCCAGGATGGGAAATGTCCCAGGCTGGTGTTTGATCCCTTGCTAAACCAAAATGGGAGCAGCTCATTTGCTCTGCTTGGGGTGAAAATATTCCTGAATTTAGGTACAGACTGATTTTAAAGAAAACATAAATCTACAACACATGCAAAGAAACTAAGAGAGGCAAAAAGTGATTTGGGGAGAACCAACCAGAACAGAAAACCAACATGCACAAAACCAGCAACGCAAAGGATGCCAAGGAGAGGAGCTTTGCCACAGCTTTTTTTTGTCTTTATTGGTTTTGGGGTTTTTTTGGTTTGGTTTTTTTCCTATATCTTGTTCTAATCCCTTTATTTTATGGTTTTACTTAACATACTTTCTCCAAAAATCATTGAGCAGGATAAAAGAAACCTCCATTTCTGCCCACCATTGCTGAAGGTAATGGGACAAAATCCCTCCCATGGTTCAAAAAGCAGGAGTTTCAAACCCACTCTCAGTTTCAGCTTTTCTATGGCTATAAAACCTCCAGGTTCCATATTATTAACCTCTGTCTATTCAAGCACCCCAAAAAGGTGGCTGTGTCAGCTGCCCAACCTGAAGTTCAAGACCTTTCTGGGTGAGGAGACATTTTAGAGCATAATAACTACACAAAATCCTTATCAAAGCTTGGGGGAGGGTTGGAATTACCAGTGGTTATCAGTCAATAATTGTTAGAGTAACTGATGGACAAGGGGTAACCCTTCCCATGCAATTCCACTGTGGGAATGAGAAAAGCAGCTGGAAGGAATTCATAACAAGAACCTTGCAGAGCTCAGAAAAAGGTGATGTATAAACAGATTATTTATTCCTGTGGATATTGATGAGGAATGAACTGGATTTGGCATGTCTGGGAAATATCCCCACGCTCTAAGCCATCCCAGCTCCCTGGGGCTCAAGGTAAAAACCTCCCCTGCAACTTAAGAGAACTTGGGAAAAAAAAAGCACTGAATATCTGGCTGGCTGGAAATACAGAGGTTGAACATTCCTCTTGCACATTTTTCATTTAATTAGTATTTCCTGCGGGTTTTCAGTGTAATGAGTCATTGATTATTGCAAGGAGTGCTTTGTAGGGTAAATTAATTCATTTAAGAGAAACAGTAAGAAGCGTTAAGTAGCCAGATAAATAAATAAAAGGCAAAGTGTGTTGGTTGCAAGTCAGGCCCAGGGGAGCCCCATTTCTGTAAATCAGCTCCTCAGTGAACACACCAATACCTGCCCTCCTCTTTCCTCCTCTTTACCTGCACCTACACCTCCTATAAAATATGAAAAATCCCTATAGATAAAGCAAATATAACCAAAACTCAGTTCCTCTGTTGAAAATTACATTCACTGAGACAAGGTGATA